AAAAATGCACTGAAGACAGACGACGACAGGCACGTACCGAGTCAACGTGGGTGCTGCCGCCGCTGTTGTCGTCACTGCCATCGCCTTGGTGGATTCGGTTTGTGGAGGAGTTGTGGAACGGAACTGAAGATTCTTGGAAGAACAGACTCAACGCCACCTAGGAAAGAAAACGACAATGTCTTGTGACCAGTGGTCAGCGAAGAACAAAAGAGCCACACGATAAACAATACCTGAAATTGCCATCTGGCCGCCTTCAGGCATTCGGTCGCTTGCTGCTTCGTGCAGCCGGTGGCCATTCGAAACTGGCTGACCTTCAGCTCTTCTCGCAGCGCATCCGTTGTGTTGATCATCGCTGAACGTTGAACGACGGCGATTTTCGAGTAGATGGCAGAACGAGTGACGATGAACGCACGAAGGCGGACAAGCAGGAAGGCGACACAGCACACCACCGACACGACGACAGAGGAGAACACCACTACCGTCACCGACCGACCTATCGCACGCGACGAGGACAACAACCGAAGTGAACCACCACAGCAGCAACTGCCTATTTTGTGCAGCTATAAACGCACGACGCCGCTTATGTCACGTGACATTACAGCTGATTGGTTGCGTCGAAAAATCGCAAGGTGATTGGTCGTGGAAGTCACGTGCGCTTTCCTTGTCGTCAGGCATTGTGCTTTCTTTCTTTTTCGCTCGCCGGCCTGTCTAAATCGCGATTTATTTGCTCTCTGCGTTTAGGGCACAGCGCGACGACAGTTCGAAGCAAAACGCAAAACCGTCTGTCACCAACGATTCGCACCACATCTGAGACCGGACCGACGTAAGGTTGAGGGGGGGGGGAGGGAGGAAGGGTAACACCCTTGTGGTCTTGATTTACGTTTACGACCAAAGTGAAGTTATAAATAATTCTAGTTCGCCGCATTCCTTTTGGCGATCGGCAACGGCAGCTGCGTGCTTTTCAACTTTGCAGATTTCGGGCGTTGAGCAGACTTGCCCATTTTGATACCCTTTTTGATTCCCCTTCTACTACATCTCCGTTTGAATAACGGATATGCGTAGTGTCTTTTTTGCCTTGAAGCAAAAAAGAAAGGACGTCTCTAGCTGTCCATCATCGGGATGTCGGTCTGCGTAAAATTTTCGTGACTGCGGTCATATAGGTGTTAAACGTTAAGGTTTACGGCCAGGTGACAAGCATAGCGTATAAGCTTCTGTTTCCTTTTCACAGACCG